ATCGAATGCAGTTATGGGAATAAGAATAAAAAGTCTGGAAAAAAGAAAGTTCTCTGGAGTATGGAAATTGGTCAAATAGGCATATATGAGAGCTGAGAAATAAACATACTGTTAACAGAATGCTCCATTCAATTCATTTGATCAGCAAATGTAATATTGGGAGTATAGCAACAAACACAGGCCAAAAACAAAAGTTCCTGCCCTAATGGATCTTGTGTAGAATCTTCTCATTGGAATCGATGGGTTTCAATGTTCTTTTCATGACATTTTTTTTTTTGTTCTCAATGTGCCAAATTGTAAGACATAAAAATATGAGGTTAGAAATAGAAAATAAACTCACAATATTTGCCTTGCTAGTAAAAGAATAATCATATAGGTTTTAATTAATTTTTTCTTTTTACAAAAATCTCAAAGTGCTTTTCAGCACATGGACCCAATTCTAACAGGTTTATTAGTCCTTTGAAGGTGCACTTTCAGGATGCCAAGGTATCAGTTATACTAGATTATTGTTTCAATTATAATATTTGGACGGTGCTTCAGAATTTATAAAGCACTTTTACATATCGTGTCGTTTAATCCTCACAATAATTTTTTCTTTTCTTTTTTTTTTTTTGAGACAGAGTCTTCCTCTGTTGCCAGGGCTAGAGAGCAGTGGCATCATCATAGCTCACTGCAACCTCAAACTCCTGGGCTCACGCGATCCTCCCACCTCAGCCTCCCAGTGGCACACATCACTGCAACCAACTTTACGTTATTGCAATTTATATTTAGGTGAGCCTATACTCTAAATAATTCCTTAACTTCAGGTTATGCCCAATCTCCAACAATGATAGGAAGATGGCACAAAGTAAGCTTTTATAGTTCCTATCTCCTTCTGCTTTAGGTAATAATTCAGCTCCACAAGCAAGAGTCCTGACTGGCAAAGCAGGTTACTTGGGTCCTTTTATAACTGATAAAAAAGATTAATGTTTGGAAGGATAGTTAACATTTAAATATGAACACTATAACATCAGTTTGTAAAACAGGGAAAATATACCCAGACAGTACTCCATCCAAAATGATAACAAATCATACTTAATACCTTTAAAACTTTTCAACTGTATATGAGTCATATATACAAGATGATGGCACCTAATTAGTTTACATAAATGATATGCCACGTGTACAATTTAGTACTTTATAATAGCAGGGAGCTGAATTAAACACTTTAATATTGAGTTCTATAAATATTGATGTAAAATGCTTTAATATGAAATTTTGGGGAAAGTATAAGATAATCAAAATCATATAAATTCCTTAAGACTGAGCCAAGAAAATACAAATTTATAATAAGTACTAAAATATCTACCTAATTATGCCTTATTAAATATTCCTTTTAATTAGTATTTACTGTAAAGTTTTCAAAGGTTAGTTTCTGGTAACTGTAAGTTTCATGTAGCTTTTGTTTTCTTTCTAATACATTGAAGCATGTTTATTACAGAGTGGAATTTGGTGTAAGATGGGTTGTTTTGGACCTAGTCCAAGAGGGTTTAGTTACTGAAAGCACCTCATTATAAGGTGGTCTTACCAATAAGGTGATCCACTGGCTCGGATCCCATGGATATTATAACAAGGCTCTATTGTGGAGTACAGGAAGCTGGGCAGCTAATGGTTCTATCAAATGAAACCCTAAGAAACAAAATTCTATTTTTTTTTCCCCCCAGAGACATGAAAATCATTTGGGGCTAGTGGATCATAAGCCTTGGTCATTTTCTAAATTTCCGTTTCCTCAAGTGATGACCTTTGTTTCATAGCCCCATAGATACTTCACATTAAGGTTTTAGCTTCCTTACACAAATTCATTGTCTGATGTGGTCTTAAATTTTTGTTTTTGATTGTGAAAAATTTCATCAATACTACTTATTTACAAAAGATCGACTGAATTTACCTATGGAAACAAACAAGAAACTACCAAGAATTCATACAGGTTAAAGTAAGTTCTTGTGTAGCTCACTGAGAAATCTGAGGTTTAAAAGAGCGTAAGTGAGAATGGTGTAGTAATCAAATACAAAAAGAATGCCATCACTTAGAGATTACTACAATAAGCACTTTCGAATGATTTTACAATAGGCACTTTGATTTTACAAAATTTTATATGCAGTTCTAAAGAATTAAATATTTTGAATGTGTTTATTATAGGAAAGTAATATTACAAAGTCCTATTACAGAAAAATAATGGGGGAAAACTTTTTAAAAATTTTAATGTTTTGAATAGTAAGATCATAACAAAAATGTGAATTTAGAGACTGTGCCAAATTTAAAACCATGTAATAATCAAATGTACAGTAGTAGCATAGTAGTAGTTTCTCATTAATTTCCAACACAATTCTAGAAAGTTTTAAATAATCCATCTAAAATTCAAAAGTCACATCGTGAAACATCTACTCTTTACATTGTGCCTTTTTTCCATGAATAAAGCCCATTCTCCAACTGGTAGTTTTTCTAGTTTGTGGCCTATATGCTCTATTTACTTTCAGCCCTCAAATAAATTCAGTATTATTTGATACGATTGCACGTGTAAGACAAACATTACCTGATAAATTATCTGCTAAACAATTATTACCTTATATATCTCAAAAACATTAAAAAAATTAACCAGCCAAATAATTTTTTCTTTCCACTAACAATTCTTTACTGTCAGTCTCTGTCTGTCTAACTATAGTTAGGGAAGGTTTCATATAATGCAAGGGTGCACTCTACATATCTGATTGATGTATTAAAAATTGATGACTTGCCATGTGCCCAGTACTCTTTTAAATGCTTTTATATGTTTTAACTTATTTAACTTTATAAACATTTCTTTAAAAAGCATGTGATCAGTAATGAAAATGGTCTATGTCCTACTCTATAAAGGCCAGTAGTTTACTTCTTGGACTATCATCTTGGTTAAAGTTGTGATCTTACACCTATTTCAACAATGATATGATTGTATAAAATTTTTGAAATACCTTTTAGAATTCCTAAAAGCTTCAGGCACATCTTTATGCACATACTTAGTAATGGCAATCTTTAGCTTCAGAGAGAATGAGATTTTGGAAAGAATAAAAAGTCTTATCTAGCTAGGGAAGGGGATGGCATCTGAGATCAAGTTGGGTGATAACACTAACATATGACTATAAAATAATATGCTTGCTTTTCTTATGTCATTTACTAATTTCTAAAGGCAATTTCAAAAGTCACCAAAATATTTTAATTGCAGTATTGTTAAAATAAATATCTAGTTTTCCAAGTTATGCACATATTCATATAATTGTTCCCTAAGTGTAGATGACTAAGAGTCACTTAGCCTTTTTTATAAAATGGTTTATGCTTTATTTTAAGCATTCTGGAACATAAGCAAATGAAAATTGACTCAGTAAAATATCAACAGATATTCCTTTAAATTATAGATTTTTAAAGCTGAAAGGGATTTGTATGATTTTATAGTACTAACACCTGCATTTTACAGATGAAACTAATTCCCTGAAAGGCATGTTGATTGCCAGCAAGACTTAGCAAATTAGTGGCAGAGCCTGGAATAAAGCCCAAGTCTCATATTCCACTTGGTTATTTATTTTGTTCACTACTACTATCATTATCTGTGGTTTAAGAACAATACCAGAGGGGAGAAATAGTTTCACTCTTTCAAAACAATGTAGAAATTACCTTCTAATCTAGTGTTTGGTACTTGTTACTCACTGATCCAATAAGAAAAATGTATGCTATTAGGTGGGATCTAAAATATCCCAAGCTACAGATAAATCCTTTAATTGGTAAATTGTCAATTTAAATTTCTTTGAACTATGCTTAGAGTTGTAACACCCAGTGCTATAGAAACAAATAAGTTGTATTAAATCTAAATGCCATCAGAGTAAAAGCAAACATATGCATATATGATAATTCATTTATCCAAATGAATATAAATAATAATCCTGATTCTAGGGAATTTTGACTTGAAAATAATAGACCATACACACTACTTGAACAGCTCAAAAAATTTCAATTCAAATCACTTACAAGAAGTCAAAAAGTGCCCAATGAACAACAGATGTTTCTTAGAAAAAGATCAGTGAATGTATTTTTGGAATGACATCAGAGATGAGCATCTTTTATAACCTTTTTTATCTGATGTATAGTTTCATTCATAAAAACATAAAACAGTCAAAATTCATAGAAAAAATTACTGTGCTCTAAGGAAACATATTTCAGTTGCAGTTATATATGTGTGTTTGCTTATCAAATTTATATATGAAGTTTTCTAAATAATTGTATAACTAAAGCTTTATGCCAGAACTTATCACTTTTTTCCCCACAATGATGATGAAGCTAAATAGTTAGAATTGGAAGTTTGGAGTACTTCATTTGGCATTTTATAATTTTATATAAATTTGTTTATACCATGTTTGATTTTTAGGTTTATCATACAAGAAATGTAAAATGCTTTCAATTAAAAATGCATGCTGTTCTCTTCCTTAATTTCTCTTAATTATAAGTACACAGTTTAATAAGGGAATAAACTTTTCAAGACAAGTAATTTCTAAAAAAATTTCAGACAGATTTGAGGTAAAATCTATAGTGAAACATGGTTGTGGGTGTGACTAGATTAGACTGCTGTTATTATCTTTATGTACCAGCATGAAAACAACTGGATGAAGAGAGAACTACAAAATATGATTATTTATATGAAATTAGAAGTGCTATAGGAAACTCTAAATATCAGATTAATTTTAAATTGCGCTTAGCTATGGAAGACTTATTTGAGGAAAATATTTTGTACGAATCACTTTATCAAAACTCAAATAGTAAAACTTACATTTCTGAATGTAAAATAGACTTTTAAAAATCTGATTACAATTAAAGTGAAAAAATATATCCAAAATTTTTTGAAAGTACCCCACTTATCCAATGTACAAATTATTACTTACAATAGAGTTTAACATAAGCATGATGACATATTTTTACAGCTTGAGAGTTAAGTATTATTACCGAACACTAGGGAACACACCTTTATTTTTGGAAGGAGACTATTTAAAGTTCTTTATTTCCATGTCATGAGTTTTTCTCAGTTCCAATTAATTTATCCAAGTTGTTTTTACATTACCATCAATGTTACTAATTTTATTTTCTTCAATAGGCATGATTCCATTGAACTTTGTATCTGTGCACGTCGTCTCAGCTTTCATTTCACTGACTGAATCCACTTCTTTCATAGTTCTAGTTTCAGAAACGTTTTCAGCTAAAATGCAATTTGAATTATTAGCCAATTTATTGCTTTTATGAGTTTCAACTAGGTCATTTCTTTCTTCATCTGTATCTACTGGATCATAAAGTTCAGGTGTAAAATAGATAGATTCATCTTCTTCTGTTTCAAAAGCTCTATTTGGAGTGGAACATTTAGCTTCTTCACCTTCTAGAGACAATTCAATATCCGGATCCAGGGTTTCTTCATAGCAGAGTGCATGTTTGGAATGATTTTTTTTTCCAAGAGTAGCATCAATCTTTATTGATGAAATAATGGCTTCTGATTGAGAGCATGACTCAAATGATGTGTTTACCGTCAGATTTGAGGATTCACATTTATCAGTGAGTGGCAAAACAGTTTTACTTTTCATTTTTTCTGTTTTGAAATTGGAAGGACTAGAGGCACAATTCTCTGATAACCTGAGCTCAGGTGTTGCGGTCAGTATTTTACCGGTAAAATACTGTCCCAAAGAATTAAAGCTAGACCAGCTGACTCTGTCTGTCTGTTTGTTGAAAGTTGGGCTTGTGGATCTGGAAATCACAATTTCTTCTGTTTTCATTGCTTGGACAGACTCTTCTAAGAACGCTGGATCATCTAAGAATACAAAAATTTAAGAGCTTTAACTTTCTGATTATTAACATAACTGTTAGACTAAAATATTTATTAGAAATAATTGAATAGCTCTATAGGATATATAACTTAGATACTACAACCAGTAGTTGTGAACTTTTACCTTAGAACTTAAAGAAAATGTTCATGCTTTAAAAAGGGGTTATTGGGGAAAAAAAAATAAGAAGAGGGCTAAGTAAAGTAGGGAACAGGCTGTAAAAATTTGCCTTGAAAAACTGACCTAGACTAATTCCCTTATTTAATAAATAAGGAAACTGACAATTAGAAGGCTAAATTATTTGCTCAAAGTTATAAAACCAGTTAGAAAGATCAGGACTAGAATCTAGTTTCCTGATTACCAGGATAATAGCCTTGAATTTACTATGGTATCTATTTAGAAGTATATACTGCTGGCTGGGTGTGGTGGCTTATGCCTACAGTCCCAGCACTTTGGGAGGCCTAGGTGGGAGAATAGCTTGCGGTCAGGAGTTTAAGACCAGTCTGGGCAACATAGCGAGACGTCATCTCCACAAAAAATAAAAAAATTATCCAGGCACTGCATGCCTGTAGTTCCAGCTGTTCAGGAGGCTGAGGTGGAAGGATTGCTTGAGCCCAGGAGTTGGAGGCTGCAGTGAACTGTAATCATGCCACTGCAGCAAGACCCTGTCTGTTCAAAAAAAAAAAAAGAAAACCATATATACTACAAAATAAGTATTTAATAATTGATTTATTAAGCAATATATTAATTAAAACAATTAAAATCATATCCTGTGATACAGACCAAAGTTTGGCAAACTTTTTTCTGTTACAAGCCAGACTGTAAATATTTTAGGATTTGCAGGCCATATTGTCTCTGTTGCAGCTACTCAATTATGCTATTCTGAGGTAATACACACAACTACTCTACTCTGCTGCTGTTTGCAGTATGTAAATAAATGGGCATGACTGTGTTCCATTAAACTTTATTTACGAAAACAGATAGCAGGCCAAATTTGGTCCATGTGCCACAGTTTACCAATCCCTGATATAGACCATTATTTCTAATATATTTTAAAATATTATTTTTTATCATTTAGAGTAAATGTCTTTCATCTCCTGAAAATGAAGAAGTTCATATGAGAAGAATCTATAAATTAGACCAATTTTTTATATAGCCTTTGGAATAACAACTAACACTTGTATAGTACCTTACAATTCTGCAATATTTATCATCTTATTTGACCTTTACAACCCAGCCTGGAGGCCAGGCGTGGTGGCTCAAGCCTGTCATCCTAGCACTCTGGGAAGCCGAGGCAGGAGGATCGCTTGAGGTCAGGAGTTCCAAGATCAGCTTGAGCAAGAGTGAGACCCCTGTCTCTACCAAAAATAGAGAAATTAGCCAGGCGTGGTGGCACATGCCTGTAGTCCCAGTTACTCAGGGAGGCAGAGGCAGGAAGATTGCTTGAGCCCAGGAGTTTGAGGTTGCCGTGAGCTAGGCTGATGTCACAGCACTCTAGCCAAGGTGACAGAGCAAGGCTCTGTCTCAAAAAACAAAACAAAAACCCAACCTGCAGGGATAGCTAGGAAGGTGTTCTTTTTTTCTATTATGACTCAAATAGGTTAAGTGACTTACTCATAATCACAAAGCTAGTAAGTGGCAAAGCTAGTTAGTGGAAACTGGTCTCTTGACAAAAGTTTGTTCCCATTCCAAAACACCGTACTATTTCATTATTTTGTAATAACATATTACAACTAACATATTTAAGGAAATTAATCTATACCCAAATAAATATCATTTCACTAAATATAAGACTTCTCTATCAAACATAAATGGGCAGAACTTTTCATACTTTTCTCCTTTCTGGAGATGATGCCACTTGGTAGAGATGAAGGTTTAGTAATCATTTTAGGACACTGTGGTTCCTGGACAGACATTTTTGCTTTGTCTTCCTTAGTATTTTCTGGTGATAGATGACTTGCTGTTTCCAATAAATAATTCACAGTATTGTTCTTCAAACAGGGCACTTCAGGTGTAGACTCATCATTCAGCATACACTTTCTGTCCTTTTTGGATACATCAGTGACCTTTTGGTGCTTTTTGGAAAATTCAGCCAAGGACTCCAGTGCACTTTCAAAGGTTGAATGGTGCTGAATCTGCTGTCGTACCCATTTAGAAAGTCCTAAGGAAAAAAGTAAACCCAGGGGAAAATCAGGTTACTTAGTTTTTAAGATATTACTTATTAAGATAGAGCTTACTTTTTGTACAGAAGTAATCTGATTTGCATTTTGACTATACAGAATGGTTCTCAATATTTTTTCCTGCAATTTTACTTCATATGTATAATACGTTCATATATCAGTAACATTTCTCTTCAAATGCAGTGACTGTCAAATAGAGGTAGGAGTCAGTGGGAGTAGGGTGAAGAGAAGGAACCATAATATTCTCTCATTAAGAATAACTGGTGAATATGGCAAATTAAATTTCACCATAATTTCCCACAAAAGTTACCGACCTTTTTCATATAGGGAAACACAGCCTTCCACTCCAGTATTCTAAATTTTACTCCTTTTGCAAAAATAAATTCAATATTCCATTCTCAAAGGTTTTTTTGTTCTCATCCTCTACCAATTCTAAATACATCTTAAACTATTCTGGAGGTGAAGGAAATGATATTGTCTTTTGGGCAAATCACATCCCCTCTAGATTTTTATATAATTATGTTTAATATATAAATAATCAAGTTGTAAGGGATATGATTTGATCTGTGACATAACAAAGCTGCATAAAAATGAACCATATTAAGAGTTTAAGTGTTTTGTATTATGATTCACCTCAAAATAAAATGCAAAATCAGATACTTGGACTTTCACAAAATAAATATTCCCTGCTAATGCAATTAGTTTTAAAACTAATATTCCCTGGAGCAATTAGTTTTAAAAGTCACTATGGTGGCTCACACCTGTAATCTCAGCACTTTGGGAGGCCGAGGTGGGAGGATTGCTTGAGGTCACAAGTTCAAGACCAGCCTGGGCAACATAGTGAGACCTTGTCTCTACAAAAAAATTTAAAAATTAGCTGGGCATGGTGACTAGTGATGGTAGTCCAAGCTACTCAGGAGGCTGAGATGGGATCGCCTGAGCTCAGGAGTTTGACGCTGCAGTGAGCTATGATCACACCACTGCACTTCCAGCCTGAGAGACAGAGTGAGACCCTGTCTCTTTAAAAAAAAAAAAAAAAGTCGCTACGGTATTATAAATTCTGATAAAACAGGGCTTCATGCAACTTGACTACTATAATTTCAAATACAGTCCTTCAGTTTTTTTGTTTTTTTTCCTAAACAGAGCCTTGCTCTGTCGCCCAGGCTGAAGTGCAGTGGCATCATGATAGCTCACTGCAATCTCAAACTCCTGAGCTCAAGCAATCCTCCTGCCTCAGCCTCCCAAGTAGCTGGGATTAGAGGAACATGCCACCACGCCTGGCTAATTTCTCTATTTTTTGTAAAGACAAAGTCTCACTCTTACTCAGGCTGGTCTCAAACTCCTGACTCAAGGGATCCTCCCACCTTGGCCTCTGAGAGTTCTAGGATTACAGGTGTGAGCCACCACACCTGGCTCTTTAGCTTTTTTTAAATGGAATTTTTCTATCAATTCTCTATTTGTGTTGTGCTAGTATTATCAAAATAAGAAAACATTTCGCACTTTATGTATCTCAGAAAAAAATGAATAAAACTACCTAGAAATAATGGTAAATTTTAATTCAAAAAAAACTCTCAACAAATCTGAACTATGAACTACAAATTTAAGTTCTCTATTTTAAAATAAAAAAATTAATAAGCATTTCTCTTAAAAGTTCTTTATTTTGTTTTCTTGGGGAAAATGATTACATCAAATAAAAATGTGCAATTCTCTAAAATTAAAAAATTTTAGTATTATAGTTACTTCTACATTTCAACCTTTTTATAATGAAAGAAAGCCTTTTCAGTGTAAAATATCATTGTTTGCTTTTCAAAACCTGAAAGAATATGAGCTCCACCTGCTGACTAAATACCAGCACTTATCATTTTCGCCTTTAATTACTGTTTGATGTAAGCTACTGTGTGCTTTATATGAAAAGGGAAGATAAAATCAATAAAGCAGTCTTTTTGCTTTAATCCAGACTGTTATGTTTTAACATCAAACCAAATACAGTAATTAGGATCTGAAATGGAAAAGGTAGAGTCTACACCCACAGACAGGTAATCTGAAACCAAATTTGGCATCTCTTGATTTTATAATGAATTTTTTAGCTTAAAGGCAATAATAAAGATACAAGTGTATCCCACAGCTCTTTGATAACAAGTGGACTCTTGGTATTCACTCTGAAAGGACTGCGTTAATGTTGGACTGAAACCACAGGCGCACAATATTTGTTGCTTTGTGTAGGAAAAAATGACGATTTACTACCTGCATCAAAGTGGGTAAGAAAATTTGTGATATACTTTTGCCATAATCCCAACCTCAGAACAGTGCCATGTGATTGGGAGTAAACTCCAAGCTACTAGCTTCTCCCTGGGGAGAAAAGAAGACTGGACTGTACGTCCAAAGTTCTGACTTTTTGGGGAGCCTACCCAAGACACTTGCTTCTGTCTTGCCTCTCTTACGGGACTGACATGACCTGGAAAACTCTACATGCCTGGGACCCATAAGAACAAAAGAGCTGGGCAGCATGTTGCTGCTCCAGAGGAACCACAGTACAGAAGGCAGAGGCTGATAAAACTTGATGACTGCTTCCCTGGGGTAAAGAAAAGACTAGAGTATATATCTAACATTTTTGCTTTTCAAGGGGCTGCCCAAGGACCAGTTTTTGTCCCACTTGTCATGGAGCACAGACCAGACCCGGCATACCCTATATTCCTGGGACCAATGAGAGCAAAAGAGCTGGACAGCATGCTGCTGCTTTAGAGGCCCTATGATACAAGACACAGACAGAAGGTACAAGAGATTATGACGTCCAGAAAAAAAAAACAAACTGGCAAATACCTCTAATTAGAAATCTATACACACAAGTTTAGAGAAGACAGATCCACAGAAAAGGTTTGAGAGTCTCCCAGAATGCCTACCTAGGCTGACAAGAGAAGGTCAGTCCCTGTATGAAACCAGTCTGTAAACACTGCGAGAGGTGGCTGTTTTTTTCAAATGTATGGGTATCATACAAAGTTCCAAGGAACACAAACAGGGAACAATAACCCTGTCAAAGGAATAAAATCTCTAGAAAGCAACCCTAAAGAAATAGAGGTTTGTGAATTATAGGACAAAGAATTTAAAAGAACTGTCAAAAAAGATGCTCACGAGCTCAAGAAAATGATACAAGGAAAAAAGGTGAATTTCACCAAAGACAGAACCCCAAAAAAACTAAACAGAAGATTAGGAGCTAAAAATGCAATAATTGAACTGAAAAAATTCACTAGAGGGGTTCAGCAACAGACTTAAGCAGAAGACAGAGTCAGCAAAGTTGAAGAAAGGTCATTTGAAATTATCCAGAGAAGCAAAAAGAAAAAAAATGAAGAAAGCCTAAGAGATTTAATGGAATACCATTAAGCCAAAAGAAAGAAAAAGAGGGAAAGGAACAGAAAGCTTATTTACAGAAATAATGACCAAAAACTTATCAAACCTGGGGGAAAAAAATGACACCCAGATTCAAGAAGCCAAACAAACCCAACTATTTAATAGGATGAACCCATAAGGCCATACCAAGATACATTATAATCAAATTGTCAGAAGTCAAAGAAAAAATTGAATTTTAAAAACATCAAGAGAAAAGCAACTCATTATGCACAAGTGAACTCCCATAAGACTGTCAACAGATTTTTCAGGAGAAACCTTACAAGCCAGAAGGGAATGGGATGATACATTCAAAGTGCTGAAAGAAAAAAAAACACCTGCCAACCAAGAATACTATATTAGGCAAAACTATCCATCAAAAATGAGTAAAGAGATAAAGGCTTTTCGAGATAAACAAAAGCTGAGGGACTTCATCATCACTAGACCTGCCTTACAAGATACACTAAAGAGAGATGCTATATAGCACTATGAAGGTATAAAGTTTGCTAGTAAAAGTAAACATATAGACAATAACAATGGTGCATAAATCACTTTTAATTTTGTATGGAAGTTAAAAGACAAAAGTATAAAAAAGAAATGTTAATGGACACACAATATAAAAAATGTAATTTGTGACTTCAATAACATAAGTGTGTGATGGGAGGAAAGTAAAGCATAGAGGTTTTTTTGTGTTTTATTTCGTTTTTGGAGACAGGGTCTTGCTCTGTCACCCAGGCTGGAGTGTAATGGCATGATCATAGTTCACTGTAACCTCGAACTCTGGGCTCAAGGGATCCTTCTGCCTCATCCTTCTGAGTAGCTAGGACTAAGGTTTTCTTTTGGTGGTTTTTTTTTTTTTTTTGAGACAGAGTCTCACTATGTTGCCCAGGCTGGTTTCAAACTCTTGACTTCAAGCAGTCCTCTCACCTTGGCCTCCAAAGTGCTGGGATTACAGGCATGAGCCACAAGCTGCCATATCCAGCCAAAAGTATAGAGTTTTCGTGTGTAGTTGAAGTTAACATGCTATCTGTTAAAAATAGATTGTTATAACTCTAAGATATTTTATGTAAGATCCATGTAACCACAAAGAAAATACCTATAGAAGACACAAAAAAGAAAATGAGAAAGGAATCAAAGCATGTTACTTCAAGAAATCAACAAAACACAAAGGAAGATAGGAAGTTAGGGAAAGAGGACCAAAAGAGCTACGAGAGAGACAAAACAATGCAAATATGGCAACAGTAAATTCTTCCCTATCAATAAGTACCTTAAAAATAAATGGATTAAACTTCCTATTTTACTCTGTTCAGTCTACTATAACAAAATACCATAAACTGGGTAGCTTAAATAATAATAATTTATTTCTGATAGTTCTAGAGGCTGGGAAGTCCAAGATAAAGGCACTGACAGATTCAATTTCTATAACAGAAAAGGCCTGGTTCATAGACTGCTGTTTTCTCAATCTCACATAGAGGAAGGGACAGGAGAGCTCTCTCAGGCCTTTTATATAAGGACACCAATCCTTATATAGAAGGATTCAGAAGGCTCTGCTCCCATGACCTACTCACCTCCCAAAGGACCCATGTCCTAATGCCATCAC